AGCAGGCTCCCTGCCGAGCAGGGAGCCCGATGCGCAGGGAGCCCGATGCGAGACTCGATCCTGGGACTCCAGGATCATGACCTGAGCCGAAGGCAGTCGCTTAACCAACTGAGCCACCCAGGCGCCCGTGGTTGGTTGTTTTTAATGTTGAAAGGGATTCAAGGAAAGTACTATCATTAGCCTAATTTCCAAATCTGCCTCTGTAAGACTAAAGTTACATAACTAAACTTACATGTCACAGGTATTTAGCAAATCATAATTTTATTTTTTATTTTTTGAAGTAGGCTCCACGCTGTGTGTAGAGCCCAAGGGCAGGCTCAAACTCAGAACCCTGAGATCAAGACCTGATCTGAGATCAAGAATCAGATGCTTAAATGACTAAGGCATCCAGGTGCCCCAGTAATAATTTTAAATGTGTGTGTAGATTACTTAAATATTATTTACTGGTCTTGTAGAGGTGATATTCTGAACTAGAAACTTTCTAAAATAGATTATCTAAACTTTGTCTGGTGTAGTTTTAATTCCTCCACTAATTTATTCCATTTTTATCAATCACTTAACTTTTCTTTGCCTCATCCTATTATGGCCTAACCAGCTTGTGCAACTTAAGTGGAAGGAGACACAAGAAAATGAATGATCTGCTTGCTTGGTACAAATAACTTGTTGTTTCTGTTTTCATACATGCAGATTTGAAAACCATATTTAAAATTTGTACTTCACAAATTTTACTTTACAAAACTCATAAGGCCATAGGTCAAGTTTTTTATTTTATTATTTTTTTAAGGCTAAGACTAAAATAAATGTTAAATTTTGCCTCAGGTTTTTATTGTTAGACATCTAGGTATGGTTCGTTAAGAGAGCGCATCTCCCTCATTAAACTATGAGTTCTTTTAGGAGAGACACTGTATATTTTAAGTCACCAACCTAAGTTCCTAGAACAATATTTTCAAAGTATGTTTTGTTAGATAAATGAACTTCTTTGAGAGCCGCCCGGTTAGAAACTTTCCGGACAGTCAAGACCACATCTCCCAGAATGCCATGCTCCCCTTGGCCTCTGGATCTGAGGAGAGAATGTCCCAGCCACCATTGCGCCTGAAGGAGACTACAATTCCCAGTACACCCAGGGGCTGCGGAAACCTTGTCAAATAGCCCCTGTTGCCATAGCATCCGGGTCCGGTCCAACCAATCCGGGCGCTCCTACTGAGTAGAGGCGGGTCATTCGTATCTCCGACCAACCGGAGGCATTTTTGTTGTGGCGCGTGACCGGAGGAGGCGGGAGCTGAGGACCGGCGCGTTCTCCTTGCTTCTTGGGGTCGTGGCCTTGCTCCCGCCTTGCAAGGCAAGGGTCCGGGCGCTTCCGCGCGCGTCTGTGCGCGTGGGGCTTGAAGTGCTCGTGCGTCCGGGCTAGGTCTCTGCGGGGGCAGAAGCAGGAGCCATGGGTGGGACCTCCAGCACCCGCCGGGTCACCTTCGAGGCGGACGAGAATGAGAACATCACCGTGGTGAAGGGCATCCGGGTGAGTGACAGTGGGCGGGCAGAGGGCCAGCACCCGGACTCGGACCCCAAACCTCCGACCTTCCCGGGACCCGCTCAGCCTGGTTTCCCCCGTCCCGGCCCCCAGTGTTGTCCGGCCCGAAGCCGAGTTCTCTGCAAAGAAGCTTGAAGTTTCAAGACTTGGGACATTCATTCAGAGATATTTCCTGGTTGTGTGCCAAGTGCTGAGCACTGTGCTGGGGCGGTTGGGGGAATGCCGCGTTGAATTAGACTCTCCAGGGGCTCGCAGTCTAGGGTTTGACTGTATTGCTCACTAGTTGTGGGACTTTATATGAAACCCCAGTCTTACCTTCTGTGAAATGGGACTTGTCTTACTCCTCCTGGGTTCAGGAGCCCCCACCCTCGTTTTGCACTGGCCCCGTTACCTCTCTCAAGGTGAATTGGCGTTTTGAGAACACCTTTATCTGCTCTTGGTCATTTTGTGCTCTCCCTTTGATACCACCCATTGCCGCACACTCACACACCCCGTAGACTTCTGCCTGGGGTGACTTCTAGCTTCTTCGCTTTCACTTGATAACCTCCTTTTTTCCTCCTCTGTGGCCTGCCGCCTAAGTTTTGGACTAGGCCTAGTTGCTTCAGGACAAGTGTCTGCCAGCCTGACAGGGCCTGAGATAGGTTTGCATATTTCAGGCCGCTGGCGAGTTGTATAGTCAGTTCTCAACTAGACGTTACAGAGAAATTATTCACGTCCCCCACATGTGCTTGACACATAAACTGAAAACTTGATTTTTCTCTAGGGTTTTTAGTACACCAGCACTAACTTCATTAACACTTTCTTCGCTGCACCTGAATCTGGAGCCGCTCGTTTTTGAAAGTATGCTTGAACCTAGTAAATAAAGCAATTTCACTTCTGAAAGTTTTATAATATTTTTAAATTTTTCCTCCTCTGTTATTAGACAACCAACATAAGTAAATGAAATGTGTAAATGATTTTTAGCATCTGTTATCAGGAAATAAAACTTCTTAAATATTTAAAATGTTTAAAAACTTTTACTCTGAAACTGTTACCTTGAGAAGAATTTATTAAAGTTTCCTTTCTAGAAACTCAGACTGTTGAACTCAATTTTTGGTCTGTGACCACCATTTCTTTATATCATATTAATTAATGATAGCACCACCTTTTGTAATAGAATGTCTGATGCTGCATTGCATTGTTGTGGTTTAGTTTGTACTCTTTGGAGTAAAATAAAAACTATCAACTCTGAGTTTTATGCAGAGATTTGTTTAATCTTGCCTTAGGCTTTGACTGTTCCATACCTGAAGGTGAAAAAGAAAAGTAAGGGAGAGCAAAATAAATTTTGGGTGAGAAGACACTTGCCAGAACAATGTATAAATCCATATTCTCTTGCCCTAATACAGACACGGTGATGAGAGCAAACAAAATTAAAAGAAAATTTGGCAACAGCACAGGCATTTATATCAAGTATTAGGTAAGATTAAATAGGATAAGTATGACGACTGGGTAGATCTTGGACTAAAATGGAGAGATTGTTTAAAAAACTTTTTCTAAACTTTTTAAGTAAAAGAAGCTGTGTCTTTTGGCCACTCAACCTAACAGAAATATTCTTTATTTTTGTCTTTTCTCACAGAGTATATTTTATTTATATTATTATAATTCAGGCACACACCGTGCTTCTTTTGACCTCTATGCTTTAGTTTTCTTCAGGATACACCCTTCACCTGGAATGCCCTTGCCGTGTTCTCCCACTTGCTTCAAATCCTTCTTTCTCAAGCTTGATTTGCATCACTGTGCTTTAGTTTTGTCATCTGCAAAATGATGGGCTTGAGTACATCTCTAAGATCTCTGATCTTTTCCAGTTCTGAAATTCTTTGTGTGTCTAGTGGCACTCTACATTTCTTGTAGTCATACTCAGCCCATTGCAATTTCCTCTAAAAATGACACCCTCTTGAATTGTTGAGTCCTAGGGGGTCATCCTGAGTTCTTTGAGGTCCTGTTCAAAAGAGCGTTAGTTTGGAGTTAAACAGACCTTGGTTTAAGTCTTCAGATTAGATGTTTACTATCTGCAGCTTTGGGAAAATCACTTCTTTATATTTGGTAAGAAGATGAGGTAAGGTATCTAAAGCATGTAGCACATTGTAGATTTTTAATAAAAAGCAGCTGTTATGATAAGGTTCCTTCACATCCAATAATGAAGATTCTCTGGAGGTGCTATGTAGTTAGTATAGTGGCCAGAGCACTTCCTTTGGAACCTGGCAACCTGGGTTTAGTCCTAGCTCTGCCTTTCACTAGGCTCTATGGCCCTGGACAAGTCACTCTTCATTGTGTTTCCTTGTTCAGTAAGTCTAGATACTGTAGCCTGCTTGTATTACTTATGTATCAAGCACTGCTTGTGAGAAATCTGACATAATGTATACAAGCATTTAGTGTTTTGACAGTGTTTAGTACTTATATGAGTAGTAGCTATTATTAGAGTTATTCAAGGGAATGGATATATAAACTTACATTGAACTTAATTAAAAATAAGAGCATATTGTGCTCCAACAGGTATACCTAAAAGATGTGGACTGGAAAAAAATAAATAAATATGTGGACTGAGAAGTAGGAGTCCTGCGTTCTGTAGCTGATCACCCGTGTGATTTTTCTTTAGGCAGTTTGTATATTTTTCGGCTGATCTTTGTATTTTTCTTAGCTCAAAACAGTCCCTTAAGATGGACAAAGAGATAAAGTACTTCCACTTCCAAGGAACAGAGTAAAAGGAGGAGAGGAACTCCTTCTAAGTTGCCCTTCTCTAAGAGGTAAGGTTTGGAACCACATGAGACAGAAATAAATCACACCCTCATCTTCATAATATTTTTCTCATCTCTTCCAGACATGTCTTAATCAAACTGACTAAAAGACTAAGACCCATTTTTGTCACTTGGTGTTCCTTCCATGTAGCATAGGTCATCTTCTTTGTTTCCCTCTGAGGCTAAGGATAAGCAACAATCTTGGTATCATAAGTGAGCCACTGTTTTTGGCTCAGTTGATTAAAACATGGTGCCGATGAGGCGCAAACTTCAGTGTTTGAACTGCGGCTAGGTTCATTCAACTTAGCTGAAGAAAATGTTCCAAATTTCCCCAATTGTCTAATATTTATGTCATCGCTCCTAAGAAATGAGTGTGGAGCAACGATTCACGGACTCAGTCACTGCTGGAAAACCAATTCTGCGTTCCACTGATAAGGATAGTAATTTCATCTTCATTTATCTTAATACAGGAAGAATAATATTTAGTAAGCAACATAAGGCTTTCAGTAACTAGGCTGTGTCTATTAATAGATATGTTTTCCCAGATTTTTCTTGCTGAAAATGTCCTCAACGGCTAGCAATTAAAGGACCTACTTACAATTTTAAGTTTAAAGTTTATTCTCACCTACCAGGTGTTATTTTCATGGTATTTATAGCATTTTGTTTATTTCCTTTATCCTTAGCAATTGATAGCTTTCCCTCCACTTGCATAAAATCACCCATATTCTTACATCTGATTCCAACTTCAAATCTGAAACAACTCATGGGTTGGATGAAAGGCCACCCTCTTGCCTTGCCTTCCTCTCCAAGTCTAAAATAATTTCTAGGGGTAGAAAGACCAGGCATTTTCATTACTCATATTACATGTGCTTAATAGGATTTTTCTGAGCACCTGCTGTGCCGGTTTGGAAGGTATGTTTACCACTCAGTCTTTCACTGGTTTATCTGAAACATCAAAGCTGTGAGTGAATTCTTCCAGAGCAAATGTCAACTTCAATGAGTATCATTTTCAAAGTAATATTTATCGTGCTTTCCAGGCATAAATGAATCTCTGCAACTGGCCTTGAAGCTGCAAGCTGAAATTCATAGGAGCCATACATGTAGTAGTGTGGATACTCACATGGAACACAACTAAGGCTTTGGGGAAGTATTGGCAGTTGGGAGCCCCTAAATGAAAAGATTATTTAATGTGAGATGTTGTTGAGGATTCTGGGGAGAGTATATTAACAGAGGCAACAAATCCGGTCAGTCATTGGGAGTGTTGAGGGATGTTGTCGAGGTAATTCAGCTAGCTGGTGGACAGTTGGTCCCTTTCCAGTTTAGATATCTATGACTCTCTTGGGCAGAGTACCGTGTTAAGCTTTCTAGGACTTTTCTTTTTAAAGCTCTAAGATTTTATACAGACAGTAGAAGTTCATTTCCATTAATGGCAAATGCAAAGAAATATAAATGGCAAATTACAAACATAAGCTAAAAGTTACTATATAAATCTGTATATCTTTCCCTTCCCCTGCCATGCCCTTAAGTAAGGATTTAGGAGTAATATCGTCCAAATAATAATGGCAGTTTTTGGAGCCTATGTCTTAAAATGGTAGTTGAAAAAAGCGAACCAATACTCTCACAGAAGATGACCTATGCTACATGGAAGGAAGACCAAGTGACAAAAATGGGTCTTAGTCTTTTAGTCAGTTTGATTAAGACATGTCTGGAAGAGATGAGAAAAATATTATGAAGATGAGGGTGTGATTTATTTCTGTCTCATGTGGTTCCAAACTTTACCTCTTAGAGAAGGGCAACTTAGAAGGAGTTCCTCTCCTCCTTTTACTCTGTTCCTTGGAAGTGGAAGTACTTTATCTCTTTGTCCATCTTACGCAGCCTTCTGTTTCTGAGAATACTGGATTCTAGATTGGTGGGTGGTGTATTTGTGCTCATTTTAGATACGACCAGCCAAGGGGGGTGGGGAGACTTGAGTGGGAAGACTGTAGAACATGACCCACATCTTTTTCTCCTCTCTGGAGCACATGTTGGTGTGGTGAGTGGTGTAGCCTAGAACTTAGTAAGCCCCATTTACTTAAATCTCACTTTAGCAGCAGTAGAGAATAAGGCAGATAATCAAAGTCAAGGGACTGAATTCTGTGATGTTGACAGGCCCTGGCCCTCTTCTCTTGGTTAACCCTTAGAGTAGAACAGTGTTTCTTTTAGTTTATAGATTAT